AATTAATCACCACTTATAACTGGCTTAAGCAATATTTTCAAAAATGATTTTAGTTTTTTTCTCCCTTTACTTCAGATGATTGATTCATCGCTGTTAATTTAATAAGTCTAATTTTTTTAATAAAATGAAAATGTAATAAGTAATTACTAAAATTTTATTTTCTGTATTTATTTTTAATTAATCACCACTTATAACTGGCTTAAGCAATATTTTCAAAAATGATTTTAGTTTTTTTCTCCCTTTACTTCAGATGATTGGTTCATCTTTATTCATTTCATTATTTTATCCGCGCGTTGTTCCCATTTCAGCTGCGTAGAACCCCTGCCCACATCCACCAACAATTGTATTGTAATCCTTCAATTAAATTTAACAAGTCTAATTTTTTTAATAAAATGAAAATGTAATAAGTAATTAATAAAATTTTATATTCTGTATTTATTTTTAATTAATCACAACTTATAACTGGCTTAAGCAATATTTTCAAAAATGATTTTAGTTTTTTTCTCCCTTTACTTCAGATGATTGATTCATCGCTGTTCATTTCATTATTTTATCTGCTCGTTGTTCCCATTTCAGCTGATGGGAAGCGAAAAGTAGCTCTCATTATCAGCCTCACAATTGTTTCTTGTATCATCATCTTGGGTGCCTTAGTCTATGGTTTATGCTGGCAGAGATCAAAAAAAATTGGTAAGAAACAGATCTTGAATCTTGATACTTGGTTTGTATAAATGGAGAGTTTTACTCAGTTTTTGGATAGAATGCCATTCACTTTGGTCCTGCCAAAGCAAGGTCCACAATGAACTAGTAATTTGGTGGAGATTCTTTTTCTATAACAATTCTAGGATATTTGTAGGAAACAATAATTGTCCTACAGATCAAATTCGGAAATAATTTTCTGGATGAGTAGATTCCTAACTTAGCATGGGGCGAGAACCACTGATTGCTCATTTATGACTCTTGAGCTAAAGACCACGAGGGTAAGATGTCAAATCACTTGAATGATGAATGAGAAATGAAATTAATGCATTTGTACCCATCCTTTCTCAATTTCTAAGGACAAGAGGGAACTTGTCTGAAATTCTTTTTGTGTTCAAAAGATGGAATTCAATACTAAAAGAGTAAGCCCTATATCACTTTCTTCTCGGAAAACATTGTTACATACAATAGCTTTTCCTTTTTATTATTTTCTTATATGCTTTTACTTTCGTGGCTTGGAATGGATGAATTCATTACTTGAATCTGAAAAATCAGGTAAAAAAAACAGAACCTTGGAAAACTTTGATCTCGATGCTAGAAGGGATAGTCCTCGGGACACTTCGCTGGAACATATGATGAGAAGCATTGTGAGAAAAGGAGAGCCACAGGAGCTACCTTTGTTTGATTTTGATAGCATGGTAGTTGCTACCAACAACTTCAGCATGGCTAATAAACTTGGGCAAGGAGGATATGGGCCAGTTTATAAGGTGAGTGACAATATATCTTTTTCAAAGAAAGAGTGCTTCATAGTTCTACAAAGGTACCTGGACAACACAGCTTGATGAATTTGTGATTTTTGTTAGGGAAAGCTACATGATGGAACAGATGTAGCAGTCAAGAGACTCTCTAGTAGCTCAGGACAAGGCCTAGAAGAGTTCAAAAATGAAGTCAGGTTGATTTCCAAACTACAACACAGAAATCTTGTCAGGCTAATTGGTTGCTGTGTTGAAAGAGAAGAAAGAATACTAGTTTATGAATTTCTGGCCAACAAAAGCTTGGATAATTTTTTGTTTGGTAGGTTCCGTCAAGAATTTTTCTTTTCTTCCTTAGTTGCATCATATCACATCTCATCATTTCATCTTCTTAACCATAAAGTCGTGATCTTTCCCCTGCATTGAATATTGTTCCTAGAATTAAGCCTGCAGGATTAGTAATCTTGCCAGCCTGAATTTTGCTGATAACTTTTGATATATTACATCAAAAGAGAATTGTAAGTGTTAATCATATTTCGAGTGGATGCATTTTATTAGATCCAAGTCCAACAAAAAGAGCAGAACTATCTTGGGCAAAACGTTTCAACATCATCCAAGGGATTGCTCGTGGGCTTCTTTATCTCCATCGTGATTCTTGTTTAAGGGTTATACACCGTGATTTGAAGGTCAGCAACATTCTCTTGGATGAAAAAATGAACCCAAAAATTTCAGATTTTGGATTGGCAAGGATCTTTGAAGGGACACAATATCTGGCAAATACTCACAAGGTGGTTGGAACACTGTAAGCACAGATCTTCTTCTTGAACATATTCAACTATTATTCTTCATAAATTAAGTATCACCCTCAGAAGTTAGCAAGAGAAAGTGCAGAAATACAAATAAGCTGAGCCATAAGCCTTAGATTTTTTCCTTAAACAAATAGATTTAGCTGACACCAATGAAGAGTTATGGAATTAAGTTGAATAAAGAAATTATGTTGTTCAACACTTCAACTAGCTATTGATAGTACCAACAAGAAAACTAGCTATTGATAAACATTATCAATATTAATTTGCTTGCTCTGTCTTCCAAATAAACTTCAGTGGCTATATGTCTCCTGAGTATGGATTGGCTGGAATATTTTCTGAGAAATCAGATGTCTTTAGCTTCGGAGTTCTGCTATTAGAGATTGTTAGTGGCAAGAAGGTTACCAGATTCCTCTATCACGATGAATGTCTAAGCCTTCTTTCACATGTAAGTACTGCCCTTCTTCTTTCAAATTTGCATCTCTGTATTATTTAGGTCTTCTAAATTCATACTGATCCATACTATCTTGTATCAGGCATGGCAACTATGGAACAAAAGCAAGGAGCTAGACTTAATTGATGAAGCACTGGCTGATTCATTTTCCTCAACTGAAGTAAAGAGGTGCATACAGGTTGCTCTTCTTTGTGTTCAGGACCATGCTGAAAATAGGCCAACCATGGCAGCGGTGATTTCCATGCTAAGCAGTGAAACAGAGCTTTTGCAACCAAAAGAACCTGCTTTTACATTCCATAATCCATCAAAATTTGATCAACCTAATGACAATAATCCATGCTCAGTATGTGAGGTTACTACGTCAGTTGCTGAAGGCCGATGACTTCTAATTAGTGGAACCCCATTTTTTCACTACTATTATTATTATTGTTATTGAGATTCATTTGTCAGATTGAAAAAAAAAAAAAGAGAGGAAAAACCTGATTCTGCAAAATATATAAATCTGAAAATGTTGTATCAGCCTGTTGTTGGCATCAATTGTCATCATTTATTTGATTGTTGCTGGATTCTCTAGTCTTTGAACCTTTATAAATTGGTTGTTAATTGTATAGTGAGATGTGTATAGCTTTGGCGTAATACTACTGGAGATTGTGAGAGGTCAAATCAACGCTAGCTTTCATTCATCTGATCACACCAGCCTGATTGATTCTGTAATTATGTATGCGGTTTTCATCAAGACTAGCCTACTCTCAAATTAGAAACTGAACTTTTCTTACAAGCAACTAGAGCTGCAACACTAATGGGCATGGAGGAATCTCAACTTGTTTCACTAGGCTAATAGCCCATCCTTGCCACTTCTTGGAATTTTAGTTTACAAGCAAAAGCCTAATATGTTGAGCTAGCCCTCCCAAGTTGGGTGCGCTCAACAATGGAGGTGCACCTTGAGTGCAAGGTGAATGGCAGAAAACTCGGAAAGTTTTTGTTTTGAAGCTGCACAGTTTTCCCGACACGGGCATTCCTATTCTTGAAGAAAATGGAAAAGCAAAGTGGACTCCTCCAACTTTGGATATGTTGACATGTTAGTTCCTGATAGGGTAGTGTTACACTACTCTTGTATCGAAAAACTTCCTATTCTATCTCTTGTTTAAATTTAAAAGAGTGCAGATGGGTGAGTGCGTGAAAATAGAGTGGGAAACCAGTGCAGAAAATAGAGTGAGGTTAAGAGTAAGTCTCCCTTGTTGATGCTAGAACTTTGAGAGATTTGGATTGTGATCCAAAATTTGTAATCCATTTTTAATAGTGAATTATTTTTCATCTTGACAAATATCTCGTGATTTTTTTCATTTGGGTTTTCCATGTAAAAATTCTGACGTCCTCTTTATTTTACTCGCTTGCTTATTTTGTTATTTGAGTGGTTGATTGTGTCTTTGATTGCTTTGATTCTGGGCATTGAACCATTAAAACCACAACATAATAAGCCCATCATTGCCGAGGATGGTGGACCTGAAACCATGCCAAACCAATTGCAGAAACCCCACGAGGATTAAGCCATCGAGGCAATGAGCATGAAGTAAAGAAGTAAAGTTTCCAGCTTTTTAGACCTTCCCTATTGTTCACCATCTCCATCACAATTACCCTTTTCCCTTGTTAGGTATCTGTTTTTCCCTAACGCCACGCCATGCCTATGGTCTCTTCTGCTGTTAAGAAGCAGATTGGTTTAACAGTGGCCTTGGCAATGCAGCCATCAATGCTGGTCCTCATCGCCACCGGTGTGAGGGTCTCGAGCTCAGGGATTCTGGACCTGCTGGATTTGCTCTCATTGTTAGTCCAGATTTGTCAAATGGAAATTCTGAGGTGAGTTATCAATAGCCGTTAGCCAAGAACAAGATTTTTACTCTCTCTGTTTGTCGTTTTAAAATTCATGGGTTTTGTTTGATATTGTTTGAAATCTATATTTTCAATAAAATAAAGCTCAACTGATGAGAAATTTCAGGATTTGCTTTAATTGTCTTAAGTGACCTTCTTTAATATAATAGGGAAACAGGAATTCATCGGATCATTTATGCCACTAGGAATTAAGAAAACAAAACATGCGAACTTACAATTGTTAGCCCTTAGAGTTTTGAGAGTAAGGCATTTGTCTATATAAAGGACAATTTAGGGTTACATTATTTTTTAATTAAGTTATTTTGTAAAATTATAATATAAAATTAAAAATAAATAAATAATAGTCAATACATCTAATATTGTATTATAATTATAAAAAATTATTATTCTAAAGAAATAAGAAAATTAAAACAAGAAAGGAAAATTTAAAATACAATTTGTATACAAAAATAAAAATTTTAAAAATATATTATTTTTTATTTACCAAAAAATATAAAAGTAAAAATATTATATTTTTAATTAATTTTTTATTTTATTTTTAGATAAATCAAAATTTATTATATGTAGGAGTACAAGGGGTACTCAACCCATAACATCAAAAAGTCATAGCAAATAAAATAATAAATGCATTTGGAGACAATGAAAGCATTCCCAAACTATGAAAGCGTTCCAAAAGCTATAATGATAACTGAGAACTACAATGTTAAATCTATCTCTTGGGAATTTCTTGGACACATGTACTAGGGGAATTGCACCAATAGAAAAAAGGAAACACAGTGTTAGTAGATCTTCCCCTTATCCAAGCATAAGTTCTCCTTTGAATTAAGTCAAAAGTTTTGTCCTCATCCCATTGTTGTGAACTGTGAATAATAAAGTTCCTTGTGTGCCATATAGACCATGTAACCACCAAGAAAATCAGAAACCAAACTTCAGAATTTACCAACTTTTTGATCCCAATATTGTGAGCTTCACATAAAAGAGAAATTGTGTTAGAAAGGGGTAGGGATATCCCCCACCAGTTGTAGCATCTCATCCATAGGCTTTGGATCTTTGAGCATGTGGCAAACAAGTGGTTCTCATCCTCCAATTCCTTTCTACAAATGCAGCAAAAAGTCTCCTCCTCTTGAAGCTGGATACCCTTTGTTAGAAGACCTGCTTTTGTCGGAAGTCCCTTCAAAATAAGATGCCACCCAAAGCAACTGATCTCGGACGGAATCAATTTGCCCCAAAGTTTTTTGCAGATTCTTGGCTCCAATATTCTATTCTGACTAGCCATCAAAGAATAGGCCTTGCGAACTGTGTAACCATTTGCAATATCGAAGCTCCAGCTTCTTTGGTCCGGTTGGGAAGATAACACTAGCTTTCTTAGGAGGATCTCTTTTATTCTTTGTTCTTCGTTCCTTTCCCTGCCAATAAAATCATGTCTCCAAATGTTTTTCCAAATCCAAGAGTCATTAGAAAAATGCCCCACTTCCATAACTAGTGCGTCTTTGTTGGAAGTCAAGTTAAATAATCGAGGGAAGGAAGTATTTAGGGGTTCGGTTCCTATCCATTTATCCACCCAAAATTTAACTTTATCTCCCATTCCCACCTTCCAGCCAAAACCTTCTTTAAACACTCTTGAACCGTTACCCCCCTCACTCCTAATTCTACAATATTCCTCAATAGATGGACACATTCCTAAGTTGAGTTTGATTGATATCCCACACTGACCCTCCTTCGTAGTATTTATCAATAACAACTTTTCTCCATAAGCTACCCTCTTCCTTCCCAAATCTATCCCACCACTTCCCTAGCATCACAATATTCCTACAGTCAAGATTTGGCACTCCTAGGCCTCCCTCACTTCTGTTCCTACACACTTTCTCCCAACTTAACCAAGCTAATTTGCTCTTGTCCTCCATATAACCCCATAGGAACTTTCTTTGTAAAGACACTAATTCATGGAGCACAATTTTTGGAATTCTAAAAATAGACATAAAGTAAATAAGGAGGGCAGAGAGAACAGACCTTAGCAACGTAACTCGGCCACCGATCGATAGGCTTTTCGCTTTCCAAACTGTAAGCTTTTTGGAAAAATTATCAATGACTAGGTTCCATGCTTTCTTCTGCACATAATATCCCCAACTGGCATCCCGAGATAAGTAAAGGGGAGAGAACATGATTTGCAATTGAGGGCAACAGCAGCCATTCTTCCCCACTCATCGGAGGCATTAAGTGAGTAAAGCACACTTTTGTTAAAATTAATTTTCAGGCCTGACAACAGCTCAAACCATCTCAGTATCCCTTTCACAGCTTTAATGTTGTTAGGGTCTGCCTTCCCCATAATGATAGTGTCATCAGCAAACTAGAGGTGTGAAATGTTGAGACCAAAGGGCCCTACATCAATTCCTTTGAGAACTTCCTTGCTAATAGCTGATTCAATCAACACATTTAGACCTTCAGCAACAATTAGGAAGAGGAACGGGGGCAATCAAGTCTCCTTGTCTGATCCCCTTCTCCATTTTAAACTCATCAGTTGGGCTTCTATTAACGAGAATCAGAACTGAAGCAGTTTGTAGACATTCCTTTATTCACATTCTCCATTTTTCACCAAAGCTGAGCCTCCTCATCATTTCATCTAAGAAATCCCAATTTACACAGTCATATGCCTTCTCAAAGTCTGCTTTAAAAATAAAACTACTAACTTTTTTTCTCTTTATCTCCTTTACCACCTCATTTAAAATCAAAATACCATCAGTGATCTGTCTTCCTCCCAAAAAACGGATTGGGTCCCACTTATCACCTTGGGTAATACTTTTTTAATCATGTTTGCTAAGACCTTGGAGATGATTTTATAAAAACTATTAATCAAGCTTATAGGTCTATAGTCCTTTAAATCTACAGGATTTGACTTTTTTGGAATGAGGACTATGAATGAGGAGTTTAACCCCCTTAGCAGCTTGCTGTTTCTAGAAAACTCCTACACAAATTTGACAACATCTTTCTCAATCACTGTCCAACAAGCTCTAATAAGATGGAAGCTGAAGCCGTCAGGACTACGGGATTTATCACCTCCGCATTCCCATACTGCTTGTTTCACCTCTTCTGCTGAGACCGCCCTTTCCAACCAAACTCTGTCCTCCTCAGTGAGTTGTTTAAATTGTAGTCCATCTAGTTTTGGCTTGTCCCACTGCTCATCTTGAAAAAGTTTTTTGAAATATTCTCGCACTTCTTGTTTCACAATGCTGGATTCCTCCACCTAAGAACCATCCTTATGAATGCCTCAAATCATTTTTCTCAACCTATTACTGTTAGCTATTCTGTGGAATAACTTGGAATTAGCATCTCCTTGCTGGACCCAATCAAGCTTAGTCTTTTGTTTCCATGCCATTTCTCTCCTTCGCCATGCTTCCCATAACTCACTAAAACCCTCCCTTCTCAACAATATGTCTTCCTTTGATATTTCAGTAATTTCATTCTTGCTATCAACTTCTTTGATTTTAGCTTCTGCCATATCAATTTGTTTTTTAAAGTTCCCAAAGACTTCATGATTCCATATCTTCAATATGTTTCTCAAATGCTTAAATTTTTCTTTGCACACAAACCCCTTCCATCCCCTCATCTCTGTAGATTTCCAACTCTCCTTTGCTACTTTTCTTAAGTCTGGGTGCTGATCCCAACAATTCAAGGCCCTAAAAGGCTTTGGACCCCAGTCACTATTAATCTTCTTCAGTACCACCGGGCAATGATCTAATATAGATCTGTTTAAACCAACTTGGCAACAATCACCCTAGAAATTAAGAAGGTCATCTGATAAGAGAAATCTATCCAACCTACTCATAGCTGACCCATCTCCCTTATACCAAGTAAATTTTCTTCTTGTTAATGGCAAATCAACCAATCCTGCATTTTCAATGAAGTCATTAAGGTCCTCCCTATATCTGGAGTGCTCAGATCTTCTTCGTCTCTCCTTCATTGATCTCACGCTATTGAAATCTCCAGCAATGCACCAGAAGCCTTCCCCTTCCTTAATCATCTTCAGTAACTCTACCCATGTTTCTAGTCTTTCGTTTCTGTTACATGAGGCGTACACATTCACAATGCAACACTTTTGCTTCTTTTCTCCCCATAAACCAAAAATTGCTAAGGCACCTATCTTCTCAACCACTGATACTTTCTCAAATAACTCATCATCCCAAATACACAAAACTCCTTCTGATCTACCCACCGAGGCCTTGTAAACCCAATCAAAATTATCTCGCCCCCAAATAGACAAGCACAAGTCCTTGTCAATTACTTCCATTTTAGTTTCCTGAAAATAAGCAAGGCTAATTCCCTCCTTTTGTAATAGACTCCTTACCTCTTTTCTTTTGACTGAACTACTGAATCCCCTTACATTCTATGACAATAACTTCATTAATGAAAAATTCTGAGAAATAAACAAAGAGAAGGCCTACCGTGGTATCTCACGACCACACCCCTACTTGTCTCTTTCTTCCATTCGTGTGAATTTTCCCAAAATCTGTTCTTCTCGATTTTCAATATCGATCCCTATCTTTTTTCCCAGTTCCAGAACCTTCTTTGCTTCCTCGAAGATCATTCCTTCTTTGATTCTTCTATTGTTGTAGACAATATCCCCTTTTGAGAGTGAGCCTTGTGATAACTCCCCCCCTAAATTGACCGGTTGAACCCTTGCTTTCCTTCTTTTTCCTCGCTTCGTTCCAGTCACCAATTTCATTGATTCAACTCTTATTTCTGCAGAAGTGTTTGAAGATTTTATTAGGCTTACAAAAACTTGAAGCTCGCTGCCCTCCTTCTTGTTCAATCCCGTTTTGTCTTCAACATATTGGGCTTTGTATTTACTATCACTTGGGCTTCTAGATTGGGCTATTTCTTGGGCTACCCAATCTTTTGTTGCTAGGACTTTACAGCTACTGTTAAGGTTCCTTCTTGTCTAGTTGTCTTCGTTCCCCTCACTTTGTTTCTCATGCTCCTGATTAGACAACGTGCCATCTAGCTCCCTGTTCTCCTCAACAACTCGCTTTGAGCCACTCAAATTGTCAGGATAATTAATACCACTAACATCTTTGAAAGGTGTTTGAATTTTCCCTTCCTTTGGACTGTTTGAACAGTCACAGTCGAGCTCACAAAAATCGTCGCCGGTGTTAGACTCCGATGAACTCACTTCTGATTCAATAATGGAGTTGTGTACTTTCTTCAGCCACCAAGGATCATTTCCCCAATTCTCCTCCACCACAGCAATATTGAATCGATTGCCCTTCACTTTGAGGACAAATTCTTCATTTATTGCCAATTTAGATTTGGTGGATACCAGGATCCTTGCTACATCCAA